TACCTACCTACCTACCTCCTACCTAGATACCTACCTGCCTCTCGACCTGCCTGTCTGCCTGCCTGCCTGCTTTCTGCCCCCCCACCTACCCACCCACCCACACCCAGCTACATACGTACCTTCTTACCTACCTATATACCGATCCACATACCCAGCTACTTACATACCTGAGTACATACCGACTTACATACAAATCTACGAACGCAGGGACATGCAGAAATATTTAGGTACATACAGACAAACAGACAGACGCCTACACGTACGCAGGCGTGCAAGTCTGGGTCGCAACTTGCCTCGTACCAGCCAAAGAGGTACAGCACAAAGCACGTCTGCTGAGGTGCATCCTGTCGTTACTCACGGGATTTCAAGTGTTCCAATTTCTTTCGCCAAAACAAACCGAACAATAAGAAGAAAGGGAATGACCCTAGTCTTTGACCCTTGTCTTTCGGATCACGCCACCAAGTGCTCGTGATGCGCCTTGTTCTATGTTTAAAAAAGAGCACATGTTGTTTGCTTAGGCCGTATGGTGGAGTTACTCGTTTGCGGTAGGGGTCAGCGAATCGAGCCTGAAATCGCGGTCAACATCAAAGCAAACATTAGATTCTGGATAGGCTCCGGTGGCTTGAACCATCTGTAATCTTACGACCTTGAACTCGATAAACACCCGAACTAATCATTGTAGAAAGCCGCTGGGGGCTGAGACTAATTACTAGTTACTTAAGCCTATACCCTCATATTTGGCAGGATCTAAAGGCAGAAGATCCCGGAACGGCTTCCCATGGTACCAGGCTGGAGGTTCTACTTTCCGAGACCCTCGTGCAAGGCCCGTCCAGGATCCTGAAACCTCGCCTTACACCCTGTAGGTTTAGGGTTTAGGGTTTAGGGTTTAGGGTTTAGGGTTTAGGGTTTAGGCCCTAAGCCCTAAAATCGACAGCTAATGGCAGGCACATCCCCTGGCCGTCCTGCAGGAAGAACTTGATGAACACGACCATGTGAAACCTGTCTTGTCTTTTACAATAATCGTAGAATAGGATTAGAGTATTCATGGCTGACTTCTGAACGCCTCCTGACAGTTAAGCCCTCAGCATATCATAGTTCATATAGAAACCCGAAACCCAAGGCTCTAAGGACTCATATTCTAAGGCTTTTGGGCCCAAAGACCATACTATAGGGCTTTTGGGCCATTTTGAGCCTTCGGGGAAGGATTAACGTGCTAACAGCCACCCAGAAGAACCCCAAGTAGTCGTCGTGACCGTTCAAGGCGTGCGTACACGACCCTGAGCTTTGGCTGTTGCGGACGGCCTGCCCAGTCGGCACAGTGAACCCCAGAAGGGTTTAGGGTTTAGAGTTCAGGGTTTAGGGCAAAGTGCAGGCGCAGGGGCGTTTGCTGAAAGGGCAGTTGCATTGTTTGAATTATGACTTGCCATTATCCTATTCCTGGGACCGTCTTTCCATGGCACCACCCCAACCAAAGTATGGTTGGAGCCGGCCTGGCGAACTGGAAACATAGTTACACCGACCCAAGTTTAAGAACGCACAGGCAACTTTGTCAAATAAGTTGTGCAGCATTACAAAATCACCGCCAAGCCCTGTGCCACTACATAACGTCAACCTAAACCCACGGGAAGTACCTTGAACAACTACATGCAAAAAACAAGTTCAGCCCCGAATCTTTGTCCTATCACAAACAGGCGAAGGAAGGCACCTCCTGACATTCACGTTGCGAGACTCCATCATCTGGTACACGGCATAGACCTTGCACTTACCCGAAGTGTCCTTGAACACTTACATGGGGGGGATACCTAACGACTTCCAGCTGTAAGATTGTGTATGTAGAGACGGTACTCTACGCTTTGTATCTAGCTACTTTGGACTCTTAGGCTTAGGTTCCCCGAACGATTCCCTAACCCCTAACCCCTAAACCCTAAAACCCTAAAACCCTAAACCACACTAAACCCTAATCCGTAGGGTCTGTAACCCCCTAAAAGATGCTTGGCAGCTCCTTGGATCCGGGAAAAGCCAAAGTACGGGCCTTCATAGTTAGAATAGGGTTTACAGTTTAGGGTTTCGGGTTTGGGGTAATCAGGGGTATATTATACCATAATTACTTTAAGGAACCCCACACAAGTCTATTGGTAATTTTGTAGGCCCCTATATTAAGTCCGAAATGGCTCCAGCAATGAAGTTCCCCAGTTCCAACCTGCGTTTGCATGCTCCTAGGTGATCTCTTCAACCTGCAGCCCCAAAAACCTTAGGGGTTTAGGGGTTTAGGGTTTACCGCCAAGTAGAGGTCTAGGGCTAAGGCTTCAGGTGTAAGTTGGAAGTTGAGTTTTCACGAACCTAAAACGCACGAAGAGGTTTACGGCAAGCTTACAGAGCTTTATCGATCTCCATCTCTAGCTCTATCAAGTACTCAAAGGCTATAGCTATCTTGGCCCAGAGCACTTCCTGCGCAGAACCTTGGGTTTAGAGTTCAAGTTCAGGCTAATAGAGTCTAAACTCAAAGGCCATGCTATTTGGTACTTGGAACCCAAACCCCAGGCCTAGACCTTCAGCTCCGAACCTTCATATCCGGGTGCGAAAATTAGTGGCACTATCCCTCTCACTGCCTAGATAAAGATGCTCACGTCCGTTGTGATATACTAAGTTACTAAAACCTATGAAGGCCCCGATACAAAACCTTTAAAACCTGCTACTTCGGGAACTGTGAAATTGGAATGTGTGGTGGGCAAGAAGTGCTGCCGAGAAGAGGGCCACGCAATGTCTGCATTTCCGTTGGTTGCATTCCTTTGATGCCAGAATGCTGACATCTTGTCGTCCTGCATAGTAAATAAAGATCTTTTTCGTCTCACCCGGAGCCACTGCAACCAGGTGCTTCTCGACCATTGCCTCGCGGTTGCCCCGATCCTGATGCGCTGCAGCGCGAGGATGAGCTCAGGCGCCATCGAGTCAGCAAAAGATTGGGATTGAGCTCTATAGGCTTGATCTGGGAGTTTCCGAACATTAGGGTACCTTATTTTGGGGTCCTTATAATAAGGATCCTATTATTTAGGGTACCATATTAGGGTCCCCCATTTTCGGAAACCCCTATCTGCTAAACGATAACAGCAGCCATGATGCCGTCCCATGGCGATAAGACGTCTGCTGAACAGGGCAGCGGGGATAGGAACCCGGGACGAAACTTTCTCTCAAAGCCTTGGAATGTAATGAGAAACAAGAAATCTAATCTATACCTCTACCCATAGGCCCCATAGTAGTTCCTTTTCGGGATTACCTAATAGGATCCCAAATATAAGCCACAAAAAGGAACTACCATGGGGCCTATGGGTAGACCTTAGATCCTAAACCCTAAACCCAAAACCCTGAACCCTAAACCCTAAACCCCTAAACCCTAAATCCTAAACCCTAAACCCTGTCAGCCCCAAACTCAGACAGCCTCAATCCTAATCCTGCAAGAAGGTAACGTGGATGCATGGAGGGTTTAGGGTTAGGGTTGAGGGTTTTAGGGCTTTAGGGTTTTAGGGTTTAGGGTTTTAGGGCTTTAGGGCTTTAGGGTTTTAGGGTTTAGGGTTTAGGGGGGCATCGGCACTAACGGCATGACGCCACGCGTTCGACACACGCCGTTTACGGGAAACACCTTCCACGAACTTCGGAGGAGCCCCCGAGACGGTCTGCGAGTTGCTGCGTGACGAGTCTGATAGATTGGGAAGGTGGGGCAGGCGGGTGATTGAGAATTCGGGGCGGGGGTGCGGTTGAGCATTTGGGAAAGCGGGCAGCGGTTGACGATGTAAGGGCATCATTCGAAGGGGAAGGTGTTTCGATTTTTTTTATATCTGACTGCATAGGAAGAACTGACTGTATCAGCACATTACAAGGGCCGACACAGACTTGCGGCTTCTTCACACCAGAGCTTACGACGAGAGGCAGGTGCATAGAACTCGTGTCTCATGCAACAGTTTCAGAGGATGCTCGTGCGTCCTGCTGTGTCAATCCCCTTGCCAGGATTCAACAGACACAGAGCTATTTTGAGCAGGACGTCTATGTATGGTGGCCGCTTCTGTCTGTTTACATGTGGGCACCCTAAACCCTAAACACAGCTAATAGCAATAACAACCATCATCATCATCCTGGGGCTTTCAGGTTTAGGGTTTAGGGCGTTTAGGGCTTAGGGATTTGGGGGTTTAGGGTTTGGAGTATTTAGAGATTTAGAGTTTAGGGTTTGGGGTTTCGGGTTTAGGGTGCTAGGATTTAGTTTTTATCATCATAATTACCATCAGATTCCACAAGAGGCAGCGGGGCTCGATTCACTCGGGCCGAAGACTTAGCCTTTCGGGGCGCCAGCACCTAAGCCCTGAACCCCAAAACTCTAAGCCGAGCTGAAACAATACAGAATGTAGGGGCCTTAACAGCTAGAATAGGGCTTCGGGGGCTCCTGATTATAAGTCTAGTACAATCCCCCCCCCCCCCCCCCCCCCTATTCTGATTATTAAGGCCCCTGTACTACATCCCCGTACCTTACTGCCCCAATAAGCCAGGCAAATAACAAGGTGAAACTTTCACATGACTACTACATTACCCATAGGCCCCAAGGTAGTTCCTTTTTGTGGCTTACATTTAGGATCCTATTAGGGAGTCCCAAAAAGGAACTACTATGGGGCCTATGGGTATAAGAACCCAGAAAGTTTAAAGGTTGGGTTTTGGAGAACTAACCCTAAGGCTCAAAATAGCCCAAAAGCCCTACATAGTATGGTCTTTGGGCCCAGAAGCCTTGGAATATGAGTCCTCAGAGCCATAGGGTAAGGAACCCTTCCACTTCGTCACACCAGGCGTCCCCACTGAGGCGGCGCCGACGAGAAGGAAAAGTCCCAAGAGGAAGCGGCACCTCGATCTCTGACTTAGGGTTTAGGGTTTAAGGGTTTAGGGCCGGAGGTATTCCTACGCCCTCCTTCTGCCCTCTTTTAGGCCCTGAATACTTGGAGGATCATGGGACTTAGTAAGTAGGGATATAAGTAAGGTAATTCTGGTTATATCTACTTATAGCCCTACCCAAGGTACTTATAACTTATAACCCTACTTACTAAATCCCCTGATCCTCTAAGTACCGTTAATTGGGGACCATATACCCCTCCCTATTTGAGGGTACTTGGATGATCCTAGTTTAGAAAGGCTGAGTCACGGTTTAGGGTTTAGGGGTTTAGGGTTTACCCTAAACCCTAAACCCTAAACCCCGTTTGGGTTTTTCAAGCTTTCAGGATATGGGATTGTCTGGGGTTTTGGGGGCTTCGGTCTTCCGGGTTGCGGTTGGCGGCTTGCGGCTGTCTCTTCTTCCTTGCTGTTGCGGTTCAAGGTTTAGGGTTTGGGGCCAACCCTAAACCCTAAATGAGCCACGGTTTAGGGTTCAGGGTTTAGGGTTTAGGGTTTGGGGTTTAGGAAGTATAAGAATCTACGGTTTGGGGTTTGGGGCTTTGTGCTGCTTCAGGTTGTTATTTGTGTGTGTCTTCCTTGCTATCAGGGTCCAGGCTTTGGGGTTCCACGATATTCGGGTTGTTATTTTATCAGCGGCTTCTTTCATTCAAGCAACGATGGAAAAGAACACATTTTCTCCTATACACCAATTCTGGTACCTAACCTGACTTAAGCCCCAAACCCTAAACCCGGAACCCTAAACCCTAAACCCTAACCTGACTTAAGCCCCAAACCCCAAACCCGGAACCCCTAACAACTTCCCAGTATAAGTTACGCTGCTACGCCCAGCAGACTGATGGCCCGAAGCCATATAAGACGTCTTCGGTGTTGTCTCTGACTTCCCCGTTAATCCAGGTTTAGGGTTTAGGGTCCAGGGGTTTAGGGTTTAGGGGTTAGGGTCCAGGATTATGGTTTAGGGAAAAACCTTGGAGAATCAGGTGACTGAGTAGGGAGGCCAAATAAGTAAGGAAACTATAGTTGTATCACGTGACATCTACCTATATCCCTAGTTACGGTACGAAAGATGCGACCTACTAAGTCCCATGATCCTCCAAGTCGTTTGTACATCTTGGCGAAAGCGCAGGATCTGCAAACTTGTCGCCGCGGTAGCACCCCCTTTCACAGAGAGTTTAGACAGCAATGACACACCAACCGTGCCAGTTGATCTCAAAGCCTAAAGTCCATACCTCCTCTTACCTCTGAGACTTTGTCCTGGAACCGCAAACCACAGACCCTAAACCCTAAACCACAGAGAGTATGAAGACCTCGAAATCGACCCCAAACCACAGAGAGCATGAAGACCTCGAAATCCTATCCCTAGAAGCCTCGAAACCCGAAGACCACCGAATGCGTCCAGACCCTTGGATGAAACCCGGAGACCCCAAGCCCCCCAAAAAAGTTAGGGTTTAGGGTGTAGGGTGTAGGGTGTAGGGTTTAGGGTTTAGGGTTTAGGGGTACAAAGACACAATATGTGCACTTGTCTATATTAGGATCCCTTTTGGTGTCCTTTGTATATTGGGGACTTAGAAAGGGACCCGAGTTTAGAGCACGACCCATGTCCAAACCAAAAAGGGTTTAGGGTTTCGGGTTAGAAAACAACACCCTAAATCGACATTGAAGACAAATCATCAGCAAACAAACCCTAAAGCCTTAAACCTAAACCCAACCCAAAAGTCTCCAAACCTAAACCCCAAACCCTAAACCCTAAACCCTAAACCCTAAAACCCTAAACCCTAAACCTTAAAACCCAAAACCCCAAATAAGCCCCAAAACCTAAAACGCCTAAACGG